AAGATGGGACTGGATCACCATCGGGTTTTTGCTCTGCGCGAGGATCTCCAGTAAGTTATCATCACTAATAAAATAAAAGCGCGGGAAGGCATCCCGTTTCATCTCAAGGTACTGATTCAGCGACTTCTGGCAGCGTTCGAGCTGCTTGTACACGGTGCTCAGGATTTCCTTGAACTCGGTGTGCGAAATGAGGGTGATCAGGCGTTTGTCCTTATCGATCTCCTTCATGATCTGCGTGAATTGCTCATCCAGGGCGTCAAAGCGTTGCTTTTCATTCGGCAGCGCCCCACGGCTAAAAATCGGCTCCAAATACACCCACTTGCGCTGAATAAGGTTCAGGTAGTGGAGGTACTCCCCCATGAGATTCAGGCGCTCCTCCCATCGATTCACATCGTTCGCGAAGGCGGTAATGTAGGGGGATTCCTTCAGGCTCATGATCAGCGCCTGTTGATCGCTCAAGACCGATAACAGGTCCTTCCATTCCGTGATTAGCGCGAACCCCGGGCGGGAAGGGTAGGGCGTCATCGTAAAGCAGGATTCTGTCCCCCAGGCCCGGACGTCGTCGAGGGCCTCGCGGATCTGCGCTTCCCCTTGCGCGCGGTTATGCAGCTTTTTCAACGCCGCCTCCTGCATCACGATGCAGTGGTGTTGGTCCAAAACCTGCCCGAAAGTCAGCGAGTCCTGCGTGAGATACCCGGGCAGTTTGAGCAGCTGAAAGAGCTCGCCCCAGTGGGAGGGGGCGAAGCCCTCGCCGCGGACGAATTTCAGCAGGGGCTGGCAGCGCCCCCACTCCTCCAGCATCGCGCGCGCGTTCACGACGGCCGGGATGACCGGAATCTCCTTTAAGGCCTCCTGCCAGTGCTTAAGGAAGTCGGTGAAGCGGTAGGACTTCGCGCTATAGCTGATCCACTTCTCCGCGCGAAGGGCCTGATAATCGTTCTGAAAGCGCACCAGCGAATCCCAAATCGTGATGTAGTGATCCATCTCGGCCTCCAACTCCTCCATCACCTGCAGATCGGGCTCATCCATGAAAAAGGATTGGCAGTGCTTGGTGCATTTCTCCCCCATCTCTTTTAGCGCGCGGGCCTCCTCGCGTTTTTGCGCGAGAATGGCTAACGTATTCTGGGAGTTGATGTCCTTGGGTTTGATCTCGTTCCACTGGTTCACCAGCTTCTCCACGTTTCGCTC